GGACTGTATCACGAGAATCCTAATCTGTCCACACGCACGTCTCGCGAGGAGATAATAATGACGTCGGACCCTATGATGATGATCGCTCGATGTAAATACGACGACGCTTACTTCCGGCTCCCTGTGCGCAAGACTACCGAAACGGAAGCGTCCTTCGTCCAGCATATTCCGTCGGCTAATAATCGGCTTAATTCGACCGACTGGACTAGGAACGTTAGCCGAAGGGGATATAGGGTTGAGTTGCGTTAGGCGCGAAGACCGGAGGGCTCCTAAGGAAAGGGTTGCAACCGGCCCTTTCGTTCCCCGTAACGCAATGCCATCTGCGCGAGGAGCTCATTTCGGTGTTATCCTTGATCTGGAAATTAGGCGACTAGTCGCCTTAAGGAAAGTCACTCACAGATCTAATCGTCATTCACGATAAACATGCAGAACGTTCCTCGATTTCTTTGAACGTTTAGGGAAACAGTTTTCTTTCTTTTTTTTTGTTTTCTTTCCTTTTTTTGAGATATTTTGAGTTTTCTTATCTATCGTTCGCTTCTCTCCTTTATTCTTTCTCCGTCTCTCTCGTACGTTAACGTTCGCCCCCCGAAGGGGCCAAAGGGTTGAACCGTTCGAGGGAAAAATGAAAACCGGTGGAGGTTGGGTACAGGGGGTTTCAAAGGGTGACGTATAGGGGTTGGTTGAGGAGGCAGAAGCAGCTGCAACGCGACGGGCAGCAACCGAGCCCGACAGCTGCCATCGGTGCTTTAACCAACAGCTGCACCGGACCTGAGGACTCGCCTTTACGTTCACAGTCCACTACCGATATCCTGAGGCTTGTCCCTTGTCGACGAGCCCCCGTCGACCAGTACTCCATCTTTTTTCCATTCTTTCGACTCTCTTCCTTTTTCTTCCTTTCATCCTTCCCTGTCCCTCCCTCCGCCCCTCTTTATTGCACCTTCTTCGTACACCTCACGACCATAACCTTTCCCTGGGAGGGTTGCCAGGGTAGCTGGACTTTAAGGGGGAATAATGGAAAATCCCCTCGTTACGCAAGAACCATCCCCCCTCCCCCCTCCCCTTTGAGAGGTACGCGCGGAGGTTCCCGTAAATCAACGAACAATTTTGAGTAGCCACATTTTTCGGGGATTCCCCGCACCTTACGAACCGTCATTTAAACTTCTCTCTACCCGTAAGGGCCGTCTTTCGTGATCTGGCGGTAAATTCAAACTGACCAGCAGTGACCGCAGGACAGAAGATCGAAAAGACGGTCGTGCGAGAGTAAACGGGGGGAATTGTGTGGAATTCGCGCAATTCCAAGTCCGTCCGTTCCTTTCGTCGTCGAACCAGAGGAGACTATAAATACCGACGATGCGCCTAGGTGCCAAGGTCACGCTGCCCCTCCGCTCCTCCTGCCGTCTCTTGCTCCTTCGCTTACCTCTCCCTCCTCCCTCCTCCCTCCTCCGCCTCCTCAACCTCCTCAGCCAGTACCTTCAACCCCATGAAGTCCTACGATTATCCTCGACACGGCTGACCCCGTGCCACGGATACGCTTCGCATTACCGCGAGATCGTCACGATGGAAACTGGTGCTCGTAATCTAGGAACATAACCTGTACCCGGTCGCAGGGCTGAGCCCGGAGATCCTGTCGAGTCCAGATTGACGTAAACAGTTGACACGAGTACGAGGACGACGAAGACGACGAAGACGACCTACCGTGTGGGAGGAGTGGCGCACTTATGGCCCAGTGCCAAAAACTCGCGGATATTTGCGGACTGGACGAGCTGCGCTCGCTGCGTGACACAATTTTCGCGATTCCATAGCGTTTCCGAGTGCAGAATTTTTATTTCTGGATTCGATCGACTTGTCCCGCCACCCTGTTCCTTTCTTTTCGTCCGGACTTTTCTTGGCGGGTCCGCTCCCTTCCCTTCCGGTGCGCCTCTTCGGCGCTTGACTTTATTCATCTGTGTCGCGTTTCCGTTCTTGTTTATGTCACGTGAGCCTGGGAATAGTCTGCACACGTGTACGATACTTTATGCGCTGCCATGGAGATTCACCTTTAATCTTGAAACTCTCTTGTCTTGCGTTTCAGCTCGCTGCCTGCCCGGATGTGACGATCAGCACGGACACTGCACCAGGCCCAACGAGTGTGTGTGAGTATCCGATAAAATAGTACGTTTCTCCTGGTGGCACTGCCAACTACTTTTAGACCCGATAGGAATCGCTAGCTGTACTTGCGATTAGGGGGGCATCCGCGGGTAATGGCTGTAAGTGAAAATTCCGGTATAACGGGAGGGAGGACGAAGACGGACCGTTTCGTTCTCCGAATAGCGGCATTCTTGGGCCCCATAGAAATCAAAAGAGAGAATTGCACAGAGTAGAAGAATTCCAAGAACATGTCAGCATTGTGCAACAAAACAAAAAATTGCTTGGAACCGCAGTCTGTGGATAACTTGTTCGGGGTCCTGTGGGGCCCAGGTACGTACCTGGGACACGATGCGGCAGTACACTCTCTTCAATAAGTCCCCCTCTTCTCTCACCAGCGTTAGCCGATCGGGCCCCATTCCTCCTCCCTTAATTCGAATTCTCGCGCTTCCCTTGGCAACCGCGGGGCCCTGTAACCGTCCGCTCCTTTCTTTCTCTCTCTCTCTCGCTCTCGCTCTACTCACTCGACTGTCTGTCCACTTTCATCTCTCACCCCGAACATTACATCAAGAAAGAATCTCGGTACCCGCCGTTAACCCGGGCTTTCGAGTTTAACTCGATCATCTAATTACCCACGGCCGGGGTTAATTGTCCCGTTAGCAGCCATGGACTATCTCGGTATCGCACAGCCACCCATGCACATTGCGCTAGAATTCATTTCTTTCTTCTTTTTTTTCTTTTTCCTCTTAAATACAACGTCACTCAAGCATCTTCGGGCCCATTTTTGTTTAACCTTCCTCACAGCAGAGTCTCATTGATTCTTGTTAACATCTCAGATTCGGTAGAGCAGTCAACGGTGACGATTCCGGTAGTAAGTCCCCATACCAACGCACTGTAGATATAGGTGGCCGCGCTAGGGGGGGCGCTGAAACATGCGAGCCCGTGAGAGGCCCCAGGAGTCGCAGCTCGGGCCCCGTCAATGGGCCTAGTAGTCTCGAGTGGCTTGGTCCCGGCGGAGGTGCAGAAAAGGTACCAGGTAGAGCGCGGATGTATAGGAAAAGGAAATGACGGGCGGGGGGCACGTACACTCTCAGTAGTAGATAAAGTAGACCGTGAAGGGGACGTCTGTAGTTGGGGGGAGGGAGGGGAGTCGAACGTCAAGTCCCAAACGGACGATTCGCTCCGGGACTTGGACCCAATAGCGAGAAGAGTCTCGCGCACAAAGGAGCCAGTATGCGTGTACGGATAACGACTCGGCTTTGATTCCCCGGTTACGTGGGAATTCCACGAATTCCTCGGTATCGCTCGATCCACGCCGAAAATTCAGGATAAGCTCGTCGTCGGGACGGCAGCGCCGTCGATCGCGCCCTCGCGAGGTGGAGCAAACGTAAGAGCGATAAATCCGTCGAAGCGCCGAGAGCGTGGGAGCCGGAGATTCGTGGGACACGGGGGGACCCCCGTCTCGTGCATGGCGTTTAGTAAGGTGTACGCATGCGCGAAGGTGCGTCTAGGTCTCCTGCCGCGCATGCGCGTTGGCAGGCACGGGCGCATGCGCGATTCTACGTCGGCCCGCGGGCTCCCATTCGAATTACGTGGAAGAATCGCGGGGCAAACTAATTGAAATTTCGGAGTCTATCGGCGGTGGCCCTCACCGTCGCCCGCATGGAATACCGATGCTCGCGCGGCCATTGGCGTAGGCAATCCCGCCGATCAGCGCGCTCGTCCATTAATGTTATTTGACTCACGTGCCTTCTGGAAGGACTCTTCTGTCATTCGGTCTAACGTGCTGCCCCCACTCGGTACTTTCTCGCAACGCTATCACCGCCTCCTACGTCACTAGTTCCAAGTGAATCGCGGAAATACCTACCGCGCTCTCTTTTCGCCCTTTTATTATTTTTTTATTACTTTCTTTCGTCCCTTCGATCGGCACTCCCAGCATCCTCCAGCTACCGTTCACGTCACTGACAGATGCATCCAGTATCTCTTGTCGGCTATCGGCTGCTCTCGATATCTATGCCCAATTTGCGGCACCCTGTAACCCCGTCCTGCCGTCCTCTCCCCGTGTTACTCTCTCGTCTCTTCTCGAGTCAGCCTGACTGGTCCCGAACGGTGCTCTCTGTATGGGGACGTTAATGGTATAGTCATGCGATGGCTATGGCTCCACGTAGGTACACACGTACACAAGGCAAAGAGGCTTGGACGTTGATATTGGTGTGGCAGGGAGTTAAGCCGCACGTATATATATATATAGATGCATATATATATATATAGTATAGATATAGATGGGACTCAGACACACATATACAGAGAGGAGCGTAACCTTTCCTTGACCCGCATACTGAACGGCTGTGCTGAAGCTCGAACCGTGGGAACACTACTCGTCGACTCCATCCCCACCAGCGCACACTCGGACGGCAGTCTCTTCTGTAGTCTTCGCTCTTCGCTCTTCGCTCTTCGCTCCACCTCATCCCGGCTCTTCTGTATCCGACTGCCTACCTACCTACCTACCTACCTACCTACCAACCTACCTACCTACCTTTAGTTCTTTCTTTAGATTCGTCTCTTTCTCTTTCATTCTTTTCCTTCGCCTCTTCCTAGTTTGCTCCTCGTGCCTCCTTCTTGCCATTTTCATTCTATTTTCTTAGATCGTTTATCTCTCTTTGGCGTGACTGCGTTACAATGTTAGATTATGCCGCGGCTCAAATCCTGGATAACGTAATGGCTCCGGGATTCTCTCTAGCATCCCTCTGGGGTAACTCTTGCACAGCGTTGCCTGTACTACCTGTACGGTATAATGGTATGTGAATGTAGGCAACGTTATGTGTACAGCGCGATTAGTATGGGATGCATCCATTCTGTGGTGCAGCCTATGCACAGAGTGAATGCTGGACTAACCTAACCTAGTTTCATAAACATACCGTTTAGTCTTTTTATCATTTGAGGTTAGGTTGTCGTAATCCATATTTGCTCTGCTCTGCATTTCTCTCTCTTTCTCTCTCTCTCTCTCTTGTCAGATGACGACTGGTCACTCATGCTGGGAATTCGTTTCTCTTTCTTCGTCCACAGTTGCCAGTACGGCTGGAAGGGACCATTTTGCGACCAGTGCGTAAGGTATCCGGGCTGTCTCCACGGTAGCTGCCAAAAGCCCTGGGAGTGCCTGTGCGACGAGGGCTGGGGCGGTCTATTCTGCAACCAGGACCTGAACTACTGCACGAATCACAAGCCCTGCCTAAATGGCGGCACCTGCTTCAACACCGGGCAGGGCTCCTACACCTGCTCCTGCGCCCCGGGCTTCACCGGTACCGACTGCGAGACGCCGCTCGTCGACTGTCACTCCAGGCCATGTCTCAACGGCGGCTCCTGTTCGATGGAAACGAACACGAGCATCTCCACGAGCTCCTCCTCCACGACCTCGACCAGCGGCTCCGGGTCGACCGAGCTCACGGTGCTACCCTCGTCGACCTACAGATGCACGTGCCCACCCGGCTGGAGCGGCAGGCACTGCGAGTACAGCTCAAAATCGTGCCGCGACTTACCCTGTCTTCATGGGTCCACCTGCGAGGAGAATCCCGTGAAGGGATACACCTGTCACTGTACCCCAGGGTACTCGGGTCCCGACTGCGAGACCCAGGTCGACGATTGCTCCCCGAATCCTTGCGTCAACCGCGGAAGCTGCACGGACCGTCTCAACGGATTTCAGTGCACTTGCCCATTGGGCTTCATCGGTTCACGGTGTGAGATTAACGTTGACGACTGTCAGGGCGATCCTTGCCTGAACGGCGCCACCTGCATAGACCTGGTGAACAGATTTAGGTGTCAGTGCGTGCCTGGATACGTGGGACGATTGTGCCAGGACAAGGTGGACTATTGCTTAGCGAAACCCTGTGCCAACGGGGGCAAGTGCTCCTCAGGAACCAATGACTACGAGTGCATCTGCAAGCCAGGGTTCACCGGGAAGGACTGCAGCATCGACGTCGACGAGTGCCGCAGCGGACCCTGCCGGAACGGCGGCACCTGCCGCAACAGGGTCAACGGGTTCCTCTGCGAGTGTCCCCACGGCTGGAAGGGCGAGACCTGCTCCTTGGAGCTGGGCGCGGTCGTCCCTCCGGTCTCGACGTCCCTTGGCTCCTCCTCGGTACCAGCGGTACCACCCTCCGGTGCGAGTTACTGGTCCGGCAACCTCTCCAGGCAGGTAGCGTCGGCCGAGGCCAGGGACGCCGGCCTCACGACGGAGCACGTCGTGGTGATAGCCACCCTGTCGACGGCGGTGCCGGCGTTCGTCCTGGTCGCGGCGGTCGCCGTGATGTGCATGAAGCGTCGCCAGAAGCGGGAGCAGGCCAAGGCCGACGAAGAAGCCAGGTTGCAGAACGAGCGCAACGCTGTGCACAGTAGCATGAGCAAGAGAGGCGTCGGGGGTCCCGGTGGCATCGGCGGCGTCGGCATCGGTGGGGTCAGTGCCGTCGGAGTAGGCGGCGTTGTCGTCGGCGGGGACGCCCACATGATCAAGAACACCTGGGCGAATAAAAGTGTCAACAACGCATCTATGAGGGACGATCTCGATGGCAGCTTTCAAAACGACACCCTGGACACCTCGTGCTCCGGCTACAAACCCGAACCCGTCCTCCAGGAACGGTCCAGGACGACGAAGCAGCTGAACACCGAGGCGGCGGCGCATCGCGCGTCGCATCTCTTCCAAAAAGAGAAGGAGTGCTCGATAGGGAGCGTCGGTCTTGGAGTCGGCGTCCTCGACGTCAAGAGGACGTCCGCCGGCCTGTTCTGCCCTATCGGCACGACGAACGCGATCACGACGACGACGACGTCGTCGACGATCACCACGACGGAGTCCAGCTGTTGCGCGGAGGCGTTACTCAAGAGGCCAGACCCGCCACCCAATTCGCAATCTAATAACATCACTGACTCTGGGTGCGGTGTTTACGTGATAGACGATCATTACAGGCACGACGCGGCGTTGGCTGCCACCCTGGCCACGGAAGTTTAGTTATTTATATATTTTTATTATTATATTATTGTCC